TTTTTTTTTTTTTTTTTTTTTTGGCAAGAGGAGATCACCTCACTATAAAAGTAATTTCAAAAAATCTAACTGCTCACTTTTACATATCAATTTTTTTAATACTTATGTACATCGTATGTCAGAAATTTACTTTTACTTCTTTTATACAAGACTGGTTTTAATGACAAACCACTGAGATGAAACCAGCCTGGACAGGCTGTGATAATAATAAATAATACACGTTTTATTTTTTTATTTAGAACATTGTGTAAAATGTCAGTAAAAACAACAAACGCTTTTTTATTCACAATGGAACAAACATATTCAATGTTTGAGTAATTGAAAAATTTTAGGAAAAAGTGTAATAATTTTGAATTTGTAAGCCTTTGTTCAGCTGTTAAAGTCAGAGGTACAAATAAAAAATTAATAACTAGGTTATTAAGTACCGGTAAGGAAGGAGCAGAATCTGGAAGGAGGTTCACTGCTCTGTAAAAACCTAAAAGTGCATCAGTTTTCTGAACTTTATGAGAGTTGCAACTCTTTGCATTTTGTCATTGTTTACACAACGTTTAAATGTTTTTAGAATTGAGGGTTGTGAAAGTAGAAAAAATGAAAATGAAACATAAAAACAAATGTTTGTATATTAAAGTGTTGCAGCCTGTCTGAATGACAGGAGGGAAAACGTTTGAGATAAACTTGTTTATTTCTTTCTGTTGAAATATGAAGTGTGAATTATCAGAGGGAACACAGAACAGTGGCTTTCATAATTACAGTCAGAGCTAATCCAGGGTGCAGTCTCTGCTCCGCCCCTCACCATCACACCTGAACAGGTTGGTGCTGATCTCGTCAGTCCTGTTCAGCAGCTCAAAGGAATGTGTGCTTTTTTTCTTTACATCAACCATTTTAAGCCTGTTGGCATGTTTCCTCTTGCAAACTTCAGCTGCAGTTTGTTCTCCATGACCTTTAAACAGTTCTATTTCTGAAACTGAACTTTGTGTGCAGTAATATTAATTCTTTCAGTGTGATGAACACACGTTTAGAGCTAAATTAAAGCTAATAAAGCCCAAATCATCAATGAGAACCAGAGAATTGATTAAATCTGATTTCATATTTCCAGGTCCAAAAACACCAGACCTACAAAACCTGTACAAGCGTCTGTTGGTGGCTGAGGAGCTGGGGGGGCAGGTCAACAAGGATCTTAGCAGCATCCTGGAGCAGCTGGTCAACATTTCCAGAACCCCCAACGTGAGCCAGCCTGTCAGCAACAGCTCCCTTACCAACGTCACCTCCACAGGTAGGTACCAGAGCATCCTACACCTGCTGGTTAGACAACCACACCTCAGGAGCAGAGAGAGAAAACCACTCTGTGCTCTGACAAATCAACCCCTGCTGTCAGTCAGGTGTCAGCAGAAACCAGCTGTGATGCTTTAACCAATCAGGAACCAGTTCTGATGCTTTAACCAATCAGGAACCAGCTGTGATGCTTTAACCAATCAGGGACCAGCTGTGATGCTTTAACCAATCAGGAACCAGCTGTGATGCTTTAACCAATCAGGAACCAGCTGTGATGCTTTAACCAATCAGGAACCAGCTGTGATGCTTTAACCAATCAGGAACCAGCTGTGATGCTTTAACCAATCAGGAACCGGTTGTGATGCTTTAACCAATCAGGAACCAGCTGTGATGCTTTAACCAATCAGGAACCGGTTGTGATGCTTTAACCAATCAGGAACCGGTTGTGATGCTTTAACCAATCAGGAACCGGTTGTGATGCTTTAACCAATCAGGAACCGGTTGTGATGCTTTCACACTGTAAAAACTGTCCACC